GGTATCAATGTTATGATATATCTATAATATGACCCACATGTATTTGTTGACGTTAGTTTGCATAGATTAGTTTGTTGAACAATTGCAATGATTATACCAGTTGCAACTTTATCGATAAATGCCATTACTCCATAAATAAATGCTCCACATTCTGTATTAAAGCCAATTAAATCAGATGCTAAAGCGACACAACAAACGATTACTGTTGATCCACCAATTCCTAGTATAATACATGTCAATATGAAAACTATTTCAATTTGTACTTTTCTGTTTATATCAACAATAAACCAAAATGAAAACATACAAGCTAATATTAAACTATAACCAATGATATTAGTTAGATTTCGACCTAATCGTTTATTTACTGCACGCATAGAAAAAGTTGTAATCAAACCGCTAAGACATATACACAATAGAGCAATACCCACAAATATTCGATTTAATTTTGAGATTGCATCAATTGTATATAATGAAATAAATACCTTAGAAAGAAAAATATGATGAAAAAGTTGTACATAAGATATCTGCTGATGGAATAAAGAAGTGTCAAATTTGATTTCTCAGAAAGGGATCAGTCAAAAGTCATTGATATTTTTCCACCTTTGGACACACGATAAAATGCAAGTACCTTTGATATTGGTTTCGAAGGATTTTTCCTTCTTGTGAATGAAAACTTCGAGGGCTTCAAAATTTCCTGTATTATGTTAAGAAAATATCAGACAATTAAGATACGATATTTAGACAATATTTTTTAGTGAATTATAATTGCGTTTATGTCAGCTTTGTTATCTACGAATTATATTTTAACTCCAGTAAAGGTTTTTTTCGTTTAATAACACTCGCCTACGGATACTATATTCTTAGATATCTAGAAAATCAACAATTACTTTTAGTCTATGTAAACATACCGTGTTTTAGCTGATTGCAATTGACTAATATTTTGATAAGATAACGGTGAAATTTTTTAAAGTTTCCAAAGTTTGTATCCCGTAAAAGGACAGTCTTTTGAAATCAATATCAGAGTAACTATATACTATTACAGTACTTTCGTTTTCTTGTGTTTCCAAAATGAAAAAAATTCAATGATTTTTCGACCATCCATTTTGCACCGGCCAAGAAGTGAAAACATTGTAGAAAAGTGTTTCTCTGGAAGTTACTTAGAAAAAGATAGACAATTCTAAATCTTCCAAGTCAAGCAAACGTAGTCATAAATAAGTACATCGATTGACAAGATTCAACACCGTGATTGTATATAGTGGCAAGATTTCATCAAGTAAAAGAAAAATAGATCAAATCAGTGATCTATTTGATCTAACTCAATGATGTTTAAAATCTAAACAGACATCTACTCTTGTTGATTTTCAATAGATGTATCCTAATTTTAGTTTTTTAAAATCGATATTATACTCTTTTGGATGAAACATAATACAAATTTGAACTATTTCATGTCATAGCAATTTATTCATCTGTATAACGGCAATAATAACTTTCGCAGACATCCACAACAATGTACATTGATAAAATTCTTTTTCACATAAGAAACTCTTCCATGCCATCTTTTTTAATGTTCTACCAGATTCAGATGTTAGTTCTGTATAATACTCTTTTCCTTGATCTGTTGGATTAGATTCTTTTAATCCAACATGAAATATACTCATACAAATAAGACCAAAACCAACAACAATAAATGTTAATTTACGAAATATAGGTGCATCAGCTGATGTTATACTTAATTCATTACTAGTGGCAGAAAAACTTAACAAAATACTAGCCATTGTATAAACATATAAATTTGAAAAGAAAGCCCAAGCAAGACGATATGAATTAAGTGCAACACGTTCATCATCTTTATGTGTTAATTCATTGATCATTGCTCTAATTAATATAGAAATTATATTTTCTTCCATCGAAATAAACTTAATACTTACAAATGTGTTACTTGTGAACAAGCTCGACCAAATTGAAAAATAATAATAAATACCACATAATAGATAAATTGTACCCAGAATTTACTATTTTGACATCCAATACATTAATTAAACAAAAATGGAAATGAAATGAGTACACAAATAACTCCAATAAGATGCCAAGTTTTACGTTTTCCATAATGAAATAAACCAGTTCTTGTACGATCACATATCAAAGCAACAAATAGTGTTAATGAAGCATTAGATATTTGTTCAATTAAAAGTAAATAACCAGAAAATGCATTTGGAAACTTCAGAACACGATTATAAAATACAAGTGTATACGAAAACCACATTGATGAAGTCACATCATTTAGAACTAGACCAACACTATAAACAAATTTTGATCTTTTTGAAAGTACATCTGGTTCTGAAATACTTCCTTCCATGATCATCTATAAATCAAAAATAAAACTATAAAATAAATTAGCATAATATTCATACAGTCAGAAATTGAAATAGAATGTCTTATAATAATGCCTATATTTTTTCAGTAGACTTTAAATTTCAACGGAAGCGTGTGGGTGTGGATGTGGGTGTGAGTGTGGGTGTGGGTGTGGGTGATGAGAAGACTTATTCACACCTACACCCACACCCACACCCACACCCACGCCCACGCCCACACCCACACCCACCCACACCCACACCCTTACATGCAGTTGTCTACACTATCCTATAGGTGTCACTGGATAAGACTCTGTTCTTAGGACCCATCAGAAAGATTTGATACCACGAAAAACATCATTTCAGATGGAATGAAGTTTTTTCAAAAATATAAGCTTCTAAAATCGAGTTTCATCCGTAAGTGCATAAGTGACAGTGAAATCTCTAGTCAGATCGATGAGTAATATATATGTGGCAATAGACTTTATTACCTAAAATTAGAAAATAAAAAGAAAGACATTCAGACAGATGTCACTATTGGCACAATTTTAAAAATCAGGTAAAATAAATACTGCTTATTTACCAAAGACAAAATAAACAAATACAAAGAAAAAAAGAAGAAGAAGAATGTAGGTTAAAAACTAACCATGTCACAAATCTCTTCAAGGTAAGATCAATGTTTAATTTTAAGTAAGGAATTAATCAATGAAGTTAGTGGTTGTAGATAATTAGAATCGTGTAGATAAACAAATTCAATATTTATTTTACAGGTAATTTTTTTTTCTTTGATTTTAATATGAACAAAATATAATTAAGATTTCACTCCTATAGATATTTAAGTATTGTAGATTATTTTATATTCTTTAAAAGCAAATAGTAAAATTAATGAATGTTGTTCATCTCAAGAGAAACAGTAGTTCTTTTGAATTTCCACACTATGATTTGTTTTAATGGATTTTATATTCTTATTTCGAAGTATATAGGAAAAGTAAATGTAAGATTTCATAAAACTATCTTCTCGACGAAAACGAAGTACTGATAAAAATGTTCTACATTTTCTATTAATAATAACCTTGAGTTACAAAAACAATAGCAAATAAGAAGATTTTCCCACAATTAATTCTTACTATATGAGTTGTTTATTTTTCTCTTACCATCACCAAGTAAATCTCATAACTTAATAGTAGTATCATATGAACATGATGCTAATTGCATAGTGCATGATGTGAGATCTAATCCACCTACAGATGATTAAGGATCTTCCAGTATTAATGTTAATTCACCAGTATCAATATTCCAAATATTTATTCTTCCATCGGCAAGACCAGCAGCTAGAAATAAGTTTTTGATGAAATCGTATAGACGATTAACAACTAATCAACTTGAACGACGTCCGCCAAGTGAATCTCGTCGACCGAATGCATCACGTCATACTGTTAACATCGATAAAAGGTCTTCATCAATCAAAACTGAGCTTGTCACATAATTTTGTTTTAGCGTTCTTTGACCAAATGCTAACGACCATATTGCTGATGTACAAGTAATTTGATTGTGTACACACAAATCGCTCTGTAGCATTGTTTGAATGCCAATTCGAACAATTCATAACAAGCAGATGATGTTGACCATAAGTATCTTGGTTTGGTATAGCCAAATCTTCGGAACATGATGAAAATACTATTTTGTGTACATTAGTGATAACAAAAGCTGGCGAATTACAATAATCTTGTAATAATGAATCCACAGGCAATATACTAGTTTGTCCTATTATTAAATATAATATAATTAAAAAATTTAACATATTGTATCATACCTGGTCATGAACTAGACATAGATTTAAGGTGTACAAATCTTCAATAAGAAAGGTAAAAAATCAAAGGACTGAAATAAAGACGGTAAAAGTTCGTAAAATACGAAACGAGTGACAGCTTTCGAGCAAAAAATCGAAAAGAAAAAGATATCCTTGCTTAAATTTTTTTCTTTCTTCATCGTCGTTGGAATGTTTTAGTTCCGGAATAGTACGTGTTTATTTTTAGATATCATAACATGTCTCATCTATTCAGTTTGGAACTATTATTTATGCTTCTTCTCGTTGTTTTCATTACCGATAGCGATGGTGATTCGAATGATTTTCGTCCTCCAGCCGTACCCTAATCGTATTTAGTCCTCACATATCAGGTGAGTCGTACTGAGATATTATGTACAGTACCAAAAGAAAACGAAAAAATGTGTCACGACAGAACCATCCAAAAAAAAACTATTTGTCCTCATATTTTTATCAATAAATTGTTCTATGTTCTCAAATTTCTTATTTTTTACTTTTCCAATCCGAAAAAGATGTAAAAAAAAATGCCCAGCTGATGTAATGAGTCAAGTGTAACTTAGATGAAACGAAATCTTTGATGATTATTCGATAAGTTTGTCAATCTATTTTTTTTTCAAATGTAAAGTAAGTCATGACAATAATTCTATCAGTGATAAAAAAACTAAGAAACAAAGAAGTGTCATGAGAAAATTCAAGTAGATGCCACAAGAACTCATGATCATTTCATTCATTTTGTTTTCTTCATCAACTTACTATGTTAGATAATCAGAAAATTTTTAATAATGGCAATAAAAGAATAGCATATTTGTTGAAAGACAAACAACAAGTATTTTTTGTAGTACTAAGAAATTTCTTCACATAGCTAATGAAATAACCTGAGAACGAGATCATATGACTTTTCGATTCTCATTCAATACGAATTAAAGATAGACTCAATTCAATTTTTCTTTTTGGAACTAATTCTGAAAAAATCCCAAGCTAAATCAATCCCATCACTATGAAGAATAATAGTAAGCTTCAACAAGCTAAGAGAATCGTAAAGAAAAAAGTCTTCAACCTAAATAGGGACTTTTTCATGAAATGATACTAATATCTATGATATTCATCTGGTGCTTTGAGTGTGTATTCGTCACAATAAATCTAGATGACGAGTATCAACTTGCCCTTATCAGTTCTATATATATTGAATTTATGACATACATACGCTATTTCATTTATAAAAAAAAATATTCTACGAAAACATACACTCACAAGGTTTTTTTGTTTATCATTATGCCAATTCATAGACTAATTTCGTTTTTTTTCAACGTTAAAGAAAGTCCTATATGCCTACCTTGACATCATCAAAGTTGGTGATATACATATATACATGGGAATTGTGATAATTGTTAGACTTTATTCCCACGCATATGAATTTAACGTAAGAAACTGCAAAAGGGTATTGATCCCAGTGGAACCTACGTAGAGGCTAAAAAAAAGATTTCTAGCTAAGATCGAGACCAGAAAAACACTGCTTCTGAGTACTCTAAGAGAAATCATACTGTAGCATATTTGACTTCATTTACTTTAGTGACTGTAAAAACTTCGGAACAGACTTTTCGCCTTATAAAAACTATCTGATGAAATTATCAAAAAGAATCGATCAAAGTCATTATGAAAAAAGTTCATCTCACTAAAAATCAGCATTTCATCTTTAAAACAGATTTTTAATGAGAAGACAAGATCTACATTTGTGTAAAGTGACTTCTGACGATCTTTGAACGAGAAATTCTTACGACAGTAATCTTTTGATTAACAGATTCAAGAAAAAAATTGTGTTAACATAGTTGAAATCAGATGATTATAAGAGGAAGATGGTATAGGAATCATAGGCTCAGTACATATGAAGTAATAAAAGGTAGATTGGTGATTGCTTTTAGAGCCAAAGCAAGAATTGCATCTGTTTATTTTTAAAAACAAATGAATACCAATATTTCATTATGAATAGTAACCTTTTAAACAAGTTTCATTCAATCAAAAGAAACAATTTTGATATTATGTAACAGGTGCATAAAATTTCAATGTTTTAATATGATAGTTTCCTAAAATTTGAAAAATATTTCTTTTTATTTTGAATAGTATGGTCTATTTCGGACAATCTAACGGATTCTGATACTGTTCATTGGAGTGGATCACCTCTTGCCTTCCATGGTTTAATTGATATAGACTATTCCCAAGTATATCGTTTTCTTGGTACTCAACCATCAAATATTCCATCTTTAATACAAAAAAGTGTTGTTGTACAGCCATGGCGTACAATTTATACATTTTCAACGCCAACAAATACAGTTGAACTTGTTTTATCATTTAGTCAGCCAACATCAATTGAAGATCCTTATACTTATATAACATTTGATGTTCGTACATTAGATCAAAAGAACCATGACGTTAGAATTTATTTTGAAGAAGGATCTATGCTAAGTATCAATGATAAAAATGAAAAAATTTATTGGAGTCGAACCGATGGAGATATAACTGTATTAACGATGAATAGTTATAATCAAGTTCCATTTGGTATACATGGTGATGAAACACGAAATAATTGGGGTTATGCTCATTTAATAAGTGCAAATAAAACCACAACAATTGGTTATCAAGGCTTTGGTGACAATCTTCGTCAAGCGTTTGTTAAGCGTCAAATAATGCCGAGTGATGACACACGAAAACCACGTTCTGTTGATGATCAATCGCCGTCATCAGTATTTGTAATTAATTTAGATCGAGTGTCATCAGTATCATCATATCTAATATTTCTTTATGATGATCTTTATTCTATGTTGTATTTTGAAGATTGGCAAATACCATGTTGGCGTGCTGAACTTGATAATAATGTGACATTACTTGTGAACGAAGCCGTTGAATATTATAATTCAAATATGGCTGATATTACAGATTCAAACTTATTATTAACAACATTATTAACTAATACCGGTGGTGCACAATATTCATTATTTGGATCACTTGTAACACGACAAATAACTGGTGCAGTAACACGTACGTGGTCGAATAAACAGAACCGTCCACGCTTATTTATGAAAGAAATATCATCCGGTGGTGCTGTTAGTACAGTAGATGTCATTTTTCCCTCATCACCATTTTTTCTTTGGTTACATCCAGAAATGTTACGCGATGTTCTTATACCTGTACTTGCTTATGCTAATAATGAAACAAGTATTAATTATAATTTAGTATGGGCACCTCATCATTTGTAGATACAATTGAACCATTCGTTGTTATTTTCAACTGAAATAATTTCTTTTTTCTTTTCAGAGGAAAATGGCCCGTCTGTGATGTTCTACCCGATGAACAAGAACAAATGCCCATAGAAGAATCAGCAAATATGTTATTAATGCTAGCTAGTATTGTACAAAGACTTCTAAAAACTGATTTTCTTCAACATTATTGGAATGTTATGGAAATTTGGGCGCAATATCTTAATAATACATTACCAGATCCAGGAAATCAACTTTGTACAGATGATTTCGTACGTAGTCGTCGTTTAATTCTTATAAACAAAAAGAAAATAGTTAGTCATTCTTTTGATTTAGGAAGGACCGTCACCACACAATTGTAATTTAGCATTGAAAGGTATTTTAGGTCTAGGTGCTTATGCAATTCTTTTGAATTCTACTGGCGAAACGCAACGTGCTACAATATATATGAATCAGGCACAAGCATATGGTATGACATAAAATAAAAACATGATTCTATTTTTCTTTTTTTGTTAAAATAAAGCAAACTATTGGTTACAAGCCGCACGAGATGATGAAAACTATCGTCTTCAATATGATTTACCAAACACTTGGTCACAAAAATATAATCTTATTTATCAATCAATATTATCATTAAATTTATTTCCATCTGATGTTGCTAAACTTGAATCAAATTATTATGCAACAAAAATGCTTGATTATGGTATTCCACTTGATTCTCGTTCAAAATTAACTAAAATTGATTGGACATCATGGATAGCTGCATTTAGTGATACTAAAGAAGATGATGAGATTTTTAGAAAAATTTATAAATTTGCTAATGAATCACCAGATCGCGTACCATTTAGTGATTTCTATAATGCATCTGATGGTCATGTATTAGGTTTTTGTGCACGACCAGTTATGGGTGGATTATTTATTCGAGCATTACTAGAAAGTCCACTTATAGAAAATATTTATGTTCAACCAACAAAACCTTCACAACGTCATGGACGAATCAATAGATGTAGTACATAATAACTATATATAAAAAATGAATTCGTCGACAAATGATTCATTTATGGCTTGTGATCAGACTAAAAGAACAAATTTGATACGTATTAGAATATTTTGAGATAATTTTTATATTTTGGTGGAATATATAGTATTTAATTTAGATGGGCTCAATACTTTTTTCTTAATATACTAAAGAACAATAAAATAAAATTAACATGTGTGTTCCTATGAACTCGATTGATAAGCTATCTGTTAAAGGTATATCAAGGCATTGTTATGCTTGGCATGTGAAACAGAAGTGAAACTAACAATGACATATTTCATAAAGTAGAAAACTTATAGACATGTACCAAACCCGAGCTCAACTTCGAGTTTTGATACCGAGCTTTCTGAGTTTGACCTCGAATATAGATACTCGAACTTGATCAAGCTCAAACTCAAAAGTTCCAGTGTGAATCGAGTTAAAGTTTCATGGTACAAGTTCGGGTTGAGCTTACTGATACTTGTGGATGTGAGTGTGGAGGACGCGTAAGCACTCAACCGAAGATAATCAGGGTCCAGAATCCGAATATGCGATCATTTTCTCAAATTTTCCAACTTGAATTTTTTTCATAACAGAAAGGATTATTGAAGAAAGTAATATTTTTCCATAAGAGTGAACCGAAAGTAATCGAGATTGAATGACCCAAATCTGCAATTAGTTTTTCAAAATTTTGAACTTGACTCTGTTTACTAAAAACAAGTTGTTCGCTTCTACACGTGTAGTAAAACCCAGCTCAGTCTCCGTTTTGATACTAAGCTTTATAGAATTGAGTTCAGCTTGAACTCGATCATAAATATTCGATCTCAACCGAGTTGAAGCTGAAAGCTCAAGTTCAATTGAAGTTCGAATATGTGGGCACATTTTATCTGTCTTCTAGCGTTGGAACTAAAAAAAGATAAAGAGAACATGGAAAACATTCGAGTTGCACATTCTATAGAGCGTTATCGGTTACACATAAATCAAATACTTTCTTGCTTAACAGTTCTTCCTTCTGAAAAAAAAGAACGAGTCTTCCAAGGAGGATGTTTAATTTGTGTGACTTTGTGGTAAAACAATATTTGTAAAAAAAATCGATGTTTTTCAACGTTTTTTTTGTAGAATAGCTGTTAAAATGGATTTATACATTGCTATCATATGTCAATCAAAAACTATTGAGAAGAAGAATCTGATAGGCGTATGGAGATCTTTATCCACATATATGGATGCCTCTTTCAAGGATATTCAAGTGACGAAGACACTACAACCGTCATTCGCCCCTTCTCTCTCGCGATTCTTGATAGTCCAAAGTACTAGCAACTATCAGTAATACACATGAAAACTTATCTCAAAGTGAGAGATATTGGTCAAATTCAAAGAGTCTGAAATTATCTTATGTTTTCTATATTCCTAGAAAACCTTCGCCTTAGTCTGCCGGGACATTTTCATACGAACAAATCTATCGGAATATTTTTGGAATAAAGTAATGTTTTCTCGTGAAAGATATAGTTTTAAGAGCTGAAATTTTAAACACAGTCCCAAAGTAAAGCCTTTTAAAAATGGCAAAAAAATCTTAGATTGATCTGTTAGAGTAATCGAGAAATGAAAGACAACATAATAAATCTGTCGGAACATTCAATGAAACCATAGCTACTTACTTTTATTTTTTCCTTTTTTTTAATTTAATGGTTTCTGAAAACAATTGATTTTTACCAAAATATTTCTGACCCTTTTATCTACCAAATGTAAAAGATAATCAGAGATTACTTCAAAATTGTCTTTAGTAGCTGAAATTCAAGCTGTCGAAACATAAAATGGCCATTAATGTGTTCAAGAAGTTTTTTCAATATTTGATGGATATATGAAAATCACAGCTCAATTTAACTAATATAGTCGGCAAAAGGAAAACAGGCTACAAGGTAGCTATACAAAATTAATTTTATCGAATGAAAGTTATGGCAAAGAAAAGCGACTTTTTGTCGATAGAGGGATAAAACTCAGTGATTTTTCCTTCTTCGTTTGAAGACCCTAAAGCGATGCCAATCCAAAGGCCTAATCGCATGTTTGGTAGATAACCTCAACTATAAGAATTTTATAAAAAAGTTATCAAAATCCGATGAGGGTGTGGGTGTGGGGGGATGTTAGGATAATTATGTTATTTTCACCCCCACTCACCCACATCCACACCCTCTATGTACGTGTGAAGAACTTCATTGGTTTCAGACTCTAAAATAAGAGAATCTTCGTATCTCGCATAAAAAACTTCTAAACGTTTAATAATAAAGAGGAAGGTATTTTAATATTTACTAACGGTGAAAATGTTCTCATATTTCATAACTAATTCGGTTCTACTCATGAAATTTCAGTCATGTTCAAGAACTAAAACAATAGGAATCTGTAATGATGCTTTGTCAGAGATGGACAAATTAAGTCAAAATAATGGCTTGATTCACATGAATTCAAGTCAAGTCAGACTAGCCCATCTCTGTGATATCTCATGTCATCGCATGCTGAAAATTGCTTAATTTAATCTTCGTCAAGAGGACTATCGTTTTTTCTTTGTTCAATATACATTAGTTTCATATTTTAGCTTTTAACAGTCTTCAAAGGGTAAACTGTAACTTTCTTCCGTCTCTATATTGTCTAACCACCAAACCTGAATAGCTACGTTGTTTCAAACGTATTTACATGATATTGTGTGCAAACTTTAATACCATCAGTCATGGAATGATTTTGGGCAAGCCACTTATGACTATTTGCCTGGAATTATCTGTTCAATAGAATGCCGACTACGGTGTAACATATATCTACTCTTGCGGCTAGTACATGCCTCCTTAATGTGTACGAAGAGCTCAAATAATTGAGTATAAACACTATGCTCAGGTGGTGGCTTGTTCAGAATTTAAACTAATCATAGTTGTAGGAATAATATCGAGCTATTGAGTTTATCACTAGATAACACTGTGTACTACAAGCTAGCTGAAAGGCTGCCATATTTTTCCTTTTTCTACGTTTTCTAACATTCAAAGAAGTCTATACTAAGTTCATATTCATAGCCTAATATACGAATATATCAAATTGATATTTGTAAGATAAAATTCAGAAACATTCATTAAGTCTCTCCTATTGAATTTGTTTCACTCAAGATTCGATCAATTTTTAGCGAATCTGCCTCAATTGACAACCATGATACTATTAAATCTGATGATGGATTGGAGATGATTTCCACATATTTTCATCTTTTATAATATTATATTTTCTTTCATGCTATGCAGCACAACATTATTGCAGTATAAGTTCTGTTTTTGTATCTTTACCTGTGCGTGTGCGGGTGTGGGTGTGCGTGTGGGTGTGGGCGTGGGTGGGTGTGGGTGTGGCGGGTTTGGGTGTGGGTGAGTGGGTGGGTGTGGGTGGGTGGGTGGAGTGGGTGTTGGAACAGATGTTGATTTCACCCACACCCCACACCCACCCACACCCACCCACACCCACCCACACCCACACCCACACCCTTAATATATCGTTGTGAGTAGCAACATGAGATATTATTTCATTTGAAACTATTTTTCCTGCTTTAATTGTTTCAATTATCAACTGTCTACATAATAATCTTCTCTCTTTCGAGCCCATACTGAGCATTAAAATAGTAATACTATATAATAATGTATCCGTCATATTTTCTTTATTCGAACATTCCAGTAAAATTGTCAATGCTTTTTCATTTAATTCTGGATAATTAATAATGATATTATCTATTTGATTAAAATTTTGTTGGAATAATGTCGGTTTAGAAGACTTAGCCAACTCTTAGAGCAATTCATCATTCGAAGTATATTTTAAATTAAACAATTTCATTTTGTATTGTTGACTATAATCTAATGTCGATGTATTTAATAGTATATTAATATCGTTTTTCATATTTTCATCACAAATAGCATTTTCTGCTAGATCTAATAAAATATCTATACTTTTCTGATTAAGTTCAACTTTATGAAATGTTATAAGTATTTTTAAACCATTAAGACTTTTACGAATAACATTTTGATTATCTCCTTTTAATAAATGGATTAAAACTGATTGAATACGTGAAACTAACTTAATACCAGCGTCAGAAAATGAATTAAAAAATTGACGAAGGGAATCTAGAAAATTTTTTTTTAAAATAATCTTTGTTTTGAATCAATGAACAAATAACAGATAAATATTGTTGAATAATCAATGAATTTTGTAAAATTAAAATTTTATCTAAGATTTTAATGATTATATTTTCTGATAAATATTCACCTTTTAGTGCCAGAAGTACAAAAATTGACAATACTTGATCTGAAATCAGTGTATTTTCTAATGCTTTCTCTAATTTCAATGTAAGTTTAGCTGAAATATTTTGATTATTTTTAACTAAATTTTCAAATATATCAATCAAATGGCAATTTTCTTGTCGAGGATCGAATCTTTCTACCAGCTTATTAATTAAATTATCTGGTAGACGTTGTGCATTTTTAGAAATATTCAAAAAAATGCCGAAAATTTTTTCATCCAATACAAATTGACTATTCATTATTTTGTCTAGCATTATAAATCCATTAAGTGTTAATCTTTGATTTTGTTCTGTCATTTCGTATAGGTAAGAAATAGCATCATTACTGTCCAATGGAGAAGAATTAATAGCAATAACAGCCCTTTCTAATTCTAATATATGAAAAATTTCATCAGATATATCTTGATTATGATTGACTATATCCAGTAGTTCAAATGATTTGTCTCTTAATTGACTATCGCATGATAAGTAAAGATTATCAGCAAGAAATAGCAGAAATTTTCCACCAACAATTTGTCGATTTCTAACTACATTATTCAATACTCTTAAAGCTTGATAAGAAATTTCAGGTATACTAATTGCATCTTCTAATGCAAAAATTGTATCTTGTGGTATGGAATATTTATTTGCTGAATAGTCATAAAGTATTTTGATTGCTACAGCTTGGTTACAACTTTCAAACGATAAAATATGATTAAATATTACAAACATATGATCGTCAAATACATTGTATTTAGATTCATTAAGCAAAAATACGTAAAATATTCTTATTGACTACATCGGCAAAGCTTTCTTCATCTCACTGTAAATCTTCAAATACATAAATTCTTGGTAAAAATTCAATATGAATTTTCATAACAGACTTTTCGGTCGATGACAATTTCGCTAGAACCCGAGTATATGCAACAGATGAATAGACAGCAACATCATGTATTTTATTCTCTGTATGTTCTTTTAGTTCAATTAAAACGTTATTGCCAAGTTCATGGGTTTTTGAAGCTAAATATAATGATTTCGCTGATAAAATACATGTTTGCTGATCATTACTGTTTAGTGCTTTAGTAAGATATTCAAGAGTTTGATCTTTAATCATTTCATTTTTCCTTAAAGTGTTGACAAAGATTCTAGCTACTAAGGATGAAATCGATTGACAATCTGTATTATCGTTTGAAATTTTCTGACATGTGATAGCAGCTCCTTCGCCAACTATTACCCAATCACCTAACAATTTAGTTGACAACTTATCCACATTTGGTATAATATGTCTTTGAGAAACAATCTCTAAAGCTATAATTGCGAGATTATCAAATTTATTACCACCATTGTCAATATTTTCGATTAGAGTTTGGATAACAAAATCCGGTAAATTTTGGTTTTTGACGACAGTCAATACTATAGACCGTAATACTTCGATTTTAAATTTAGAACTGTAATAAGAGTCATTTAATATATGAACATAGATTTGTAATTGAGTCTCATTCAAACCTTCACTATAACTATGTTCAAGGTAATTATTAATTATCATACAAATGTTTATTTTGGTCTGTTCACTTATATTAATGTTCTTTAATAAATTAATTATTCTGCAGAAAACATTTTCACTAAATAATTCTTGATATCTTCTCTCATCTTTACTCTGTTGATACATATACGGTATCGAATCTTCTACAATAATATTTTTCTCGATTTGTTCCAAGCAACGTGTAAAAAATTTCTTATAATCAATATCATTACAATCTGCTAGAGATCCTAATATTTTTACTATAAACGTTTTAAATTCAATGTCATTATCATCTTGATAACATTGAATTTGTTTCAATCGTTGGTTGTTCAGTATAGCCTTATTTCTGGAAAAACAAATATAAATGGTTGAAATTGCTTGTAACCTTATTTCTCGTATTTCGGATGTAATCGCTTCTGAAATTTGTTCATGATTTGTAATCGATTCATCGTAGATTTTACGTTTGAAATATATACCAATATCAGGCTCATTTGTAAGAGTCAATTTAGATTTCATTTCATTACTTTTCGAGTGATCGTTTTTTATGCTTTGATTTGTCATTAAAATTTCTTTTGAGATTTTCTCTTTTTCCGTAGTTCCACCTAAAATTCTTTTTTACAAATGATCGAGAGTATCTACGCAATTCATTAGGAGATCAATAACATTATCCTGTAATATCTGTTTTTTTGAAATTTCATAAAATATGTCAGCAATCATTCGATCTGTAAGTAGTACGTCAATGGAATTATCGCAAAACCACTTGTTTCTTGGTTCTATAAATTTTGATGGTAAATATTCATCTTTATCTTTTCTTTTTAGTGCTTGACCACTTTTAACTCTTTTATAGAGATGTACAATTCCTTTATAGGTAGTTCGAAAAGCAGATGTATCGCTTCCATCCGCGTCAGATATGATTGAAAAATTTTCTCGATTAGGTTTAACTTCTATTTGCTTATTTAAATTCTTAAAAATATGAATCGAATTCAGTCTATTAGCTGATTCTTTAGATTGATTATTCCTGTATTTTAGTTTAACGGTTTGCTGATTTTTTGTAATTACTATCTGGGGTATTTTTTTTTTATAATTAGTTGATGTTAAGTTTTTTTTATGAGCTACTTGCCGAAAGTTTCTATGATTTAAAAAATTTTGTGTTTGAATTTGTTCATATAAAAAGTTCATGGAGTTTGTATTGAGATTATTTTCTGATTCTTTCATCTCACTACAGATTTGATCGACTAAATTTTCATCTACGAATTTCCCGGAATCGTTATCAAACGAGTTCTTAATTTGGTAGCTTATAGCCCATATAATCTCGGATTTTATGCTATAGATATGATTCTTCTTTAGGACTGTTAGCAGTTTTTCAACTTCAATATCACCATTTCCATTTTTAATAGAATATTTCATGGCTTGAGCAAGATTTAGTTTGATATTGTGATCGACATCCTCAGCTATCAAGCACTTATACATGTCGTCCCATTTATCTTCTGGAAGGCCATGCTTACGTGTGATATACTTTATTACAGCTGAGACTCGTAGATGAAATGCCTTATCTACTTGAATAACCCGCATGAAGCTTGTTCATAACCCATTCTTTATTAAAGCTCTTAGATTGCTTACAGAACTCTTCTATGATTGAGGGTGTGGATATGGGTGTGGGGTGTGGGTGTGGGTGTGGGGTGTGGGTATGGGGTGTGAGTGGGTGTGGGTCTTGATGAAGAATCACACCCACATCCACCCCACACTCACACCCACCTACACACCCCACCCACACCCACACCTACACATCCACACCCCACCCACACCCACACTCACCCACACCCACCCACACCTCACCC